TTGCTGTTGTGGATCTGGCTGCATTGCTGCACGACCGCAGGTTAGCAATGATGGCTACCAGAATTGCAACGTATGCCAGGTGGTATTTGGTGTAAGATGCTGCCGTGGTAACTCCAAGGATGAGTTTACAAGTTAGCATAGGGCTTAGGCAGCTCCAAGGGATTATTATCATGTTGGTTATAAGGGCATGCAAGTATTCACGACCATGAGTCCTGCCCCATGCATGTCCTCACTCATACAGTGAATGGGTGATGACATCTCGAAACCTGACAAGCAGTCTATCCAACAGTGGGCCAGTAAGCGAATTCAAAAGCCGGCAGCAAAACGTTCACAACAGAGAGCTCCAGAAATGTAATCCTCATGTTTTCGAGTCCGACTAGCCAGATCCACTAGCAATCCTACTTAGTGACAGTCTTCTGCCAGGTACTCTGCACTGTTCATCATCCCGCTCGGCTGCACGGCGCCTTGTTCCTTTTGGGCCTAGAAGTTTGGGACAGTGGGCATAAATTTAAATGTATTTCGTTTGCGGTTCTGCGGATGGACAGACTTGTAGGACATGTTTTTGCTGTGCAGGTGACTTTGCTGGCCCAAGCACGTAAGCGCTTGGTTGTGGCTATTGAGCACGTTAGATAACCAGCTCGTCCTGACTTGCTCTTGTTATCTGCTGGTGAATCCGCAGAACAAGTTTGATTTCTTTCATTAGGCGTATGTTATAGTAACAGACAGTATGTGACTATTCGCGCTGAGCTTCGCTTTGGGCCGGCAGGCACACGGTCAGACGTACAATGTTGCCCTTGCTAGCCCGATGCACTACCTGTCCCGAGGTTATGGTGGGAACGATTGCCCTGGTCTTTGACCGTCAGCCAGCACAGCAAGTGGAGCCGGCCAGGAGCTGGCCACTGTGGTCACTGCAACATTTTGAGGGTTGCGATTGATCAGAGAACTAGAGCTCAACGCACCTTGCCTCTTTCGCGGTTATGTAGAAAGTCACCAGTCGCGCTGCTTCTTGTTACGCTTCAGCTCCCCGAGCTTGCTCCAGAAGCTGGAAACTTACTCGTAGCATTCTTCAAAGCAACAGGGCAAAGTCGAAACTTTTGAGAATCGGAGTGTTGGTCCGAACTTGGAGAAGCAGAGAGCGGCTGCATGGGGAATCGAGATGCACGGCGGATTGTCAAGAGTTGATGCCAAACACATTCTGATTGTGTTGAAAACATCGATAGATAGCTCGTATCGAGCTACATAACCCTGCTAACACCATAAAGCCATAAACCCTAATAGTGTTCGAAGCCAGGATCCGAGAGCGCAAATGCCTCTGGGCCTCGCAGACCTTCGAGGGAATCGATGCTGACCAGCCTGAGAGCCTTGGTGGGTTTAGGGTTTAGGGTTTAGCCTAAACGGGGGCTGTTGCTGTAACCGGGCTGCTGGACAACGAGGCCTGCTGCAAAAAGGGTTTAGGCTAAACCCTAAACCCTAAGTTTAAGTTTCGGGACCTGTCTACACGGTCCGAGGGTTTCGGGTTTCAGTTTGGAGATGTTGGGAGATCTAAGTTTGAACTAGTAATGTTTTGGGTCCAGTGCTTAGCTTTCGGGCTGGATGCATGGTGTCTAGGCCGAGGACCCTTGGTGCACCCGTGCTTCCGCTGCCATCAAGGTTGCAATGCGTCTGCGTGAAGGCTGTGGAGGATTCTGCCGAATGGGTGGTGTCCAAGCAGCCCTCCAAAAGCCGAGTGCCTGGGCTGCAGGAGGGTGTGTGGGTGCGTGGTAAGTCTGAGCCAGACACAGATGACCACGTTTTCAGATGCGATGCCGCGCACTTCCAGAATTGAAGTTATGTTGAAGCTGCATCGCAGTTGCCAAAGCGAGCTCAAGCCTGTTTCCGGCTCGCCACTTTTACCCGTTAGGCAGGGCACTTGAACTGCCGTAAGTTGCAAAGCCTAGAATCTGCCTAGAACCCATCTCTGCGACCCCCACCCTTATGCAGGCAAGCTGCGCCCACTCTGCGAAGACATGCAGCTGCTGCCTGGAAGACTTCGTTCCTGAAAGCCACGTGGCCATTCTGCCATGTGGGCATGTCTTCCACGAGGAGTGTATTGCCACCTGGTCCTTGTCTTTGTCGGCCTCGTCCTGCTTGTGTCCGACATGTCGCACGAGTTATAGCTGGACTGAAGAAGAAGTCTAGCTCTAAAGCGCAGCCCTTTCACCTTCAGGTGTGGGTGTGGTTGCATTTGTTTTCAGAACCGGCTCGTTGAGCGATCTGTGGCCTTCGGGAACTGCCCGTGGTGCATCCACATAAGTGCACACATGCATGACAAGAAGTATTCTGAATATTGCGCCGAGTGGTGCTACAGATCATCCCCACTCCTCTTGGAGCTTCACGTAGCGAAGTTTTTGAACTTCCGCACCTGTTGGTCTGAGGGTCTCACAAAAGAATTGACCTCGACCTACACAGGTGTATTTGCAATACGGCCCAGAGGGGTGGAAATCAAAGGCCTCAGACTACTGATGCAGTTTCTCCCTGCATTGTAGATTGAACATCGCGTCAGAAGGGCCACGTGGTTTGCGCATTCTTGGTTCCAAACGTGGAATGCCACGATCCATACTCCTTCTTTCCCCCCTGGGCGCGCGCACAGTTTGTGGAATCCGACTCGCAGCAGCCCGCATCAGTACTACTCCAAGAGATGTTGATCAACTCGCAATTGTTGCGAGTTTTCGTGAGGCATCAAGAGCTGGCGTGTCCCTGTGCCCCTATAGAATACGCCTTCTATAGGGGTCCCTGTTTGTGGGTCGGAGACCTGAATTTGGGTTCATCATTATTCCGGACCGCAAAGTTTTGTGGATACAACGCAGTACGACTGCAGGACTGGTGGCACCTGCAACGAAGATCAGCATGTAGTACCCCTTATGCAGTCTCTGTAAATCCCTTTCAGAACCCTTGAAAGGAAGCCCAAAACCCCAAGCCCTTGGTTCAAATCTTGTACACAAAAAGCAACGCCCACTTCGACGAAGCGTCGCCCGGTCCGGTGCCTTTCTATTCGACCTAATATAGGGCCGGGCCCAAATAATTAAAATTCAAAATACTATTTTGGCCTTATTACAAGTAATACTGGGCCCCAGAGCCCTATTTTAACTATTAAGGCCCCTATATTAGCCGCTAGCCATACCAAGCCTAAACTCCTGAGGCTCTGTATATGTAACTGTAAGCTATGCTTCGGACTTGTCGTTTCGATGTCGGATTTCGGGAGCACCGGGCTTGGCGTGGAAAATAGCATTACAGCTGATCTTGTGGACTAGTTGTTCCCTCATGCTCCTTTCTCTTGACTTCTGCTTCCTGATAGGTGCCCCAGACACTGTGTGCACAGCCTCGCAACGGAGGCAAGGTTCCACCGAATCACAGGAAGCCCTCGTTCCACTGCCGACACACCTGGATCACGCGCAACCCGAAATTTTCCAGAAATCAGCGAAAACAGGAATTCCTCTGTTTTCCGCACACGAGAGGGCTTCCCATGAAGTTCCTTGAAGTGACTGCGTGTTCGATTTATCAAGTGGGGTCTACCCAAAGGAAAGGGGTGCAGGCACGTCTGATGAAGCTTACTCCCTATGCTCGTACTATTTTGGGGGGTTCCTAGTTCTAGCTCTAGCTTACGTAATAATCTACCCCAAAACCCTGTTCGAATTAGTAAGGTCTGGGGCCTGCATGATTCAGAAGCATCTCGTAAGGAACATGGGAGTTTCCGAAAATAGGGGTACCGTACTTTGGGGTCCTTATTATAAGGATCCTATCATTTAGGGTACTATATTAGGGTCCCCTCTTTTCGGAAACTCCCACATAGAGCTGGTATGTTCGCCTGCAGCTTCTTCAGCTCGCCAGTGAGAGGGTTTCAATGTGCCTATTACAGTAGAAGCCAGAAAGTTTGAATATCATTGTCGTAACCCCTTCAAGGTAAATTATAGGGGATCCTACCATTAATCCATATTCCAACTTTCTGGAGTTCCCTTTAAGGATTATTAAGGGAGAAAGGCAGCGTAGTATGTCAGACCCGTCTCGGGGTAGTGGTTCCGACAAGTACCCCCTATAACTGACGCAGGAAAGCTGCCAGAACAGCAGCAGAGGGTGGATTCTGAAACTTCTGTTTTGGCTTGTGCCGTCCTGCCTAACTTGGCATCATAAATATGGAAACGCTCAGTTCTGCGTTATGCCTGTGCCTGATGCATCTCTTTCAAAGGGCAGTCCTGCAGCTGGCTTTTATTGCCAGCCGTGAAGAGCCTTTTGTGCTCTGCGTCTCTCTCTCTCGGGGGTTCTCTGCTTGTGCACCGGTCAGAGGTATTCTGGATCGTCACGAGGTGTGGTTTTGACATCGGTAGCTACAGAATGTCGGCATTGAGACTTTGGATGAAGTAGCAGACATGTCTCTCATTCGTAAACTAGAAGCGGCAACTAAGCTGGTCACCAGAAGCACAGGCTGACAGTCACCACTTGGATGGCAGAAGGTATATGTGTACGGTGACCTAGACCACAAATCCATGAACACGTGAATGTGTGTTTAAACCTGCGATTCATCGATCACTGGGCAGACCGGCTGCCAGTAGAGCTGCGGCTAGCGAAGCGCAATCGAGAGAGTGTGCTGTTCGCAGCATCTTGCATGGATGGACGCCAAAACAAGCGATCAGCAGGGGCAATGAGGGGTTTAGGATTCCTCAGAATCAAGACCTCAAACCCAAGCGTGTATCGGCATAGCCATCGCTGTCGGGCTGCATGCTAGCAGCAGAACCGATTCGGCACTTCCCTTCTAAAGCCATCTCTCGTAACAACAGTAAGTACTTGGAACAGCAATGGCAACAAACCCTGGCAACAGAGCAGAAACTCTCGACATTCCTATGAATCATGCTGCGCCTCACTCCAATTTCCCAGGCTCCCACAGAGGTTAGGGTTTAGAGGTTTAGGGTGTAGGACAAACCCCAGAAAGCGGCATGCGATACAAGAAACTCTGCTTTGCCTGGCAGTCTGCTGGAGATCCTCTGCGGCGTTGGGAGTACATGAGCGACAGGCTCTTGCAGTCCCAGCTTCTTTTTCTAAGCAGGTTTCGTTGATCCTAAGGGGCAGGGTGCTTGGACTTGTCGGGATGGTTGCTGAAGCTTCACTGAACCGTGGAATGATATATGTATGTATATATATATATATATATATATATATATACAAGCCGGAGTTGATTGCGAAACGGGCTGCGGGGATGACGGACAGCGTGATCTGGCCCACGCTTGCTGTAGCTGCTGTAGCTTTCACGTTTAGGGCTGAGTGGGAAAGCAGCCAGCAAATTGACCGAATAACAGGTGAGACATGGTGAGACAGTATGTGGAGATTTCAGTTTGGTGGGTTGAGGTTCGGCACATGCACGGAACATCGTATGCGGTTCTTCATGTAGGGTCCGGTGTGACTTGGAAGAATCTTTGATCATGTGGAGGACTATGTAGAGGTCGGACTGATTGGCTGTAGCATGCACCAAAACCCTGCTCCAACTATCTTTGCTGCTAGCGTATGTAGCTTCCCGTCGTTTCTCACGGTGGACTCTTCAGCTGCTATCATCAGACTGATCTCGAGGCTCATGGCCAGTGTGTCTTTTTGGCATCTGTTCAAGAGTTTGCTACTCCAATGTGCCACAAATTTGAGGTACGACTAGACTGACAGAGAGTGGGTCATCTTTTTCAGTGTGGTGCCTGAGACTCCAAACCCCCAAATCTTGCACCCGCATTTTCAATACTACATAATTACGTAATATACATTATGTAGTATACAATTCATTTCATTTCGAGGCATTCAGAGGAGTACGCGGCACTAATTTACAAATGCACATCAGCCCTGAGACTCGCGAAAATGGGTCCGTACGGGCTCTTCCAGAAACTCGGATCAGCTCTGATATAACCGACCTTGCCTGTACTGGCCAGTTCCCAAAGCTCTAGGATCTTTCTGGGGATAAAAGATGTTGGCTCGTCAAACGCGGCAGGAACGTCGTCTATGCTACTTAGCGGGCCCTTTCCTGCTTCCCTAGGCCAGCTCAGTTGGTACAGCTGCGACGACGGGGTCCCGCATTTGTGGCGGCCGACCTGAAGCAAAGTAGCCCAGGAATGCCGCTGGCCTTGTCTGTACTCCGTCAGGGACGCTTCGATGTCAGCCTCCTCAAACACGCTCGCTGCGGTCGGTGCCAACCAATCGTCCGGCTGACGCAGGGCCTCGCGGATAATCGCAAAGGAGGACGGAGTCCACGGCTCCGTAGGGTCGCTTGTCCACAGCTCGTCCACCTCCGTCGCGATGAACTCGAGGACCTCGATCTCCTCCCGGGGGTAGAGAGGAGAGCCCGTCAGGCTGTGTCGCACTGCCTGTCGGACCTGCTCAATCTTCTGCCAGTCACGGCGGTCTTGAAGGACATCGCAAAGGGCTCGGTGTGCTGCCTTTTGGGGTTCCGCCCAAACTTCCCAATCCGCAGCTTGGGCCGTGACTGGTCCTGTACGTGAGGGGGCCAGGTTGAACTCCTCAACAAAGCGATGCCGAGCCGCTCGGCTACCCTGTCCGGGAAGAAGCTGATCGACTGTGTGGCCCCCCGCACGAAGAGTCTTGACACAGCGATCATTGTCCCGTAGATGGATTGCCAGGCGGGCCGTAGTCCACAGCTCGCGGCCACAAGCTTTGCATTGTGTCCCCTGGACGCATGCTCTGAACTCCGCCGCTCTGCCGTGGCTTTTGAAGAAGTGGGCCCCAAGCCCACCTTTCGTTTTGAACTGGCGGTCGCACATTCTGCATCGCCAGTGTCTGGTGACCTCCTCCCCACTCGGGAGCGCCTCACAAGCTCGCCGGTAGAGGCCCCAGATGCCGACCACCACCGCATCGGCCTGGGTCTGCTGCATGTGTTTGTTCTGAAGGAACTGCTTGACTCGCCGCTTGAAACTGGCCCCATTGTTCCGCAAGTAGGTGAGCCAGCTTGCCCATTCCGCCGCCGTCGCCCGAGGGAGGTCCTCGTAGGCCTCCGAAAGGTGGCAGAGGTCTTGCCGGACGATTTGGAGCCATCCTTGCTCCTGTTGTAGGATTGCCCATAGGGCGGTGGGCCCACTGGACGCCATCGAGACCAGCAGGCTCATACGGCTTTTGAGCGCCTGGAGTTCCAGGCTCCAGCTGTTGGTGGCGAGGTGGACGATTGGACCAGGAACTCGGCAGCCTCGGTGCCCGCCAACATCTGCGACCAGCAGGCGTCGCAAGATTCTCGTGTAGCCTCCGGAGAGTTGTTTCCAGGCTTCCCCCAGCGGTATCCATATCGCCAGATTGTAGAAGACCGAGAGGATGGCAGAGTGGAAGAGCTGGGCTCGAGTTCGGAGGGGAATATGCTTGTTGCCAAAGAGGAGCCTTTTACCAGTTTCATATGCGTTGCCGGCTAGTGCCAGTCGCTTTCGCATTTCTGGCTTCAAGGTGCACCCCATGTCAAGCAATCCTCCGAGATGTGAGTACTGTGGGGCTATTGCCAGTTCCATGTCCATGTCGGGCAGCTTAAGGGTGGAGCGGCCATGGGCGAAGAACTCAGCCTTGGCCTTGCTCGCTCCGCGGCCGACAATGGCCACGACCGCTGTGGTTTTACCCCTCTTGAGGTTGGGCTGAAGTCCGAAGGACTGGCAGGCAGTGATTGTGATCGCTGCAATCCTCTGGGCCTTCCGGAGCATTCTTGCGGGGTCCGCATCGTCGAAGGGTATCGCCGAGTCGTCTGCCCAGGTCGTGTCCCTGAGGGTAACCTCGTCACCCTCAAGGGCCTGAGCGAAGGGACCCGTATCAGGGTCATAGCCGACCTCACTGAGCAGCCCGTCGCCAGCCGCAATCTCGTAGATCCTCCCCAGGACTCTGCCGTAGATGAAGGCGAAGATTTCGTCGGCGAATGACTCACCTGGGCGGCTTCCCGCATAAGTGGACGCCAGCCATTTGCCACCTGTGTGCTTCGTAATGCACCAGGTGCGGTGATGAAGGTCCTTCACCATGGCTCGGAGTGCGGGGGTAGTGCCCGCATCATTCATGACGCCACCACTTCGGATGATCTTCCAGAGCTCGGCCATCTCTTCGCCATCCAGGTTGAATCTTTGCATAATCCTGGCGACCGTTGTGTCCAGCCGGATGTCGCCCATTGCGACTTCACGGATCACTGTATAATAAGCAGCGGTCGTGTCCAGAAAGAGCACTCCAGCTGCCCGCGACAGCGCCTTGCACCGGCGCAGGTGGCTGAGGATATACAGCGTCGCATATGCGATCGGTGCTCCAGCTCTGCTGCCAAGGTGCATTTCGTGAAGCTCACGTTGGAGTTGGGGGCTCGTTTTGTTGCGCAGCAGGCGGTGATAGGCCTTCCCCACCACGCTTGACACAAATAGCGAGCGGTGGTTGGTGGGGCAGCTTACTGCGCCGGCGCCTTTGTACGCCGAGAACAAGATGCCTCCTCTCCACTGCAGCGGTTGTTGTAAGCCCGCCGCTGATTTCAGCATCAACGAGTGGACCATTCCAGCAGCCGCTGCAGGTGCCGCTGCGAGGGCCTCGCCAGGGATCATGTCGAGTCCCATGGCTTTCCCCCTCGGGGCCGCCCTCATAGCCTGTTCCACTTCTACGAGGCTCGGCAGGTCATCGAGGGTCCATTGGACTTGGTCGCCAAGTCGGGCCGCAATGTCTTTTTCCTGGAGGAACTCCTCTACAGCCATGGTCACACCACATTCCTGTCGCCCGAAATGACGGAGCCAAATGGCGTCATGGTCAGCTGCCGACCGCGCGGGGCGGCCTTGGTGGTCATAAAGGGCAGGTAGCGGTCGACGGCCTCCTTGCTTCTTGCGCCCCCCGACTCCCAGTCGTTTGGCCTGTTGCAGGAGTTGTGTTGCTGATTGAGGGCAGCCGTTGAAAAAGGACTGCAAATATTCAGCCTTGTTGGTATGCACCTCCCGCTTGATGCGTTGTGTGACAACCCCGATGGCACAAGAGGCGAGCTGGTACAGGAGGCCGTCTTTGCAGATCTCCGGCTCAATCGCAACCTTGGTTCGGCCCTGCCAGTGCAGAAAAGCCTGCCGCAGTAGATGCCGCCAAAGTCCTCGCCGGTGTTGTGCCAGACTCTTGAGTCGCAGCTTCTGTGCCCTCCATCTCCAGATGTCCTCGGTGATGTAATGTGCCTTGGGGCCGTCGGCGGTGATCGCGAAATGTTCGTCGAGGCATTTCGTGATGTAGGCCTGCATATGTCGGCAATGTTCGTCGACATGGCTCCACCACGGGGGCGCCACATAGGCCTCCCAAGCTTGCCGGAGGATGGCCCTCCCCTCCGGCGTCATCATTTTGCCTCTGTCATATTTGGGCTTTTTGAGCCGGGGCTGTTGTTGGACCCCTGCGATCTGCCCCCAGATGTGTACCGCTGCCGGCCAATGATCGTCCTTGGTCGCGGCGAGGTCGATCTGGGTTTCAGTCCAGCTGCTGGCCCCAAGGGTGTAGGCGCTTCCCCCGATCGCGATAAAATCGATACGGTGGAGGTTGCCGGTGGCGTGCCGGAATGTTTCTTGCGGGCCAGCGTGGCTTTCAGCATAGGTGGATGGAAGCCAAAGGCCGGTCTGTTGTAAGCAATCCGCAAACTGTCGGCCTGCTTCATCTGACTCCCCATATTCCAGGGAGCCGGTGACTTCCGCAAAGAGTGGGGGCGGTCTCCCGTTTGCATCACAGCCACCAAGGATAAGGTCGCAGTTGCCCGCATTTCGCAGGTGTTCTCGCAGCTTCACAAGGAATTCACTTCGTTCCTTTGGCTTGGCGGCATGGGGAACGTGTGCAGAGAACAAGAGGATACGAAGTGAGCCTTGGGCGACCATCAAGATGAGGAGGCGGGGGTCACTGTATGAGACACTGACCTCTTCATGGTTGACATAAATGGCCTTGCCACGGAAATTCGCGATCCCATACTCCTTGCTGATCCATATAGCCGTGCCCCAATGGCTGCATCCCGGCGAGGCAAACCGCATGTAGCGCCGGCTTGCTGTGCTGCCCTCGCTCTCCTTGGTTTCCTGGAAGAACAGAATTTGGTATCCAGCCAGGGCGTACTGCTCGTCCAGGTAGGCGTGGCATCCCTTGAAGCCTTGGATATTCGTTGTCACACACTTGACCTCGAAGCAGCCGTCTTGACCCGTTGGGTTTCCCCCTGTGGTGGGGATGATGTCGCTGGGCTGGAGTGGACTGCATGCCTGGGCACCTCCGCCAGGAACGACCAGCCATTGGCCCGCTCGGATCTGGGCCGTGTGCTGCGCAAGCCCGCGTTGTGCGACATGGAGCCATCCGATGTCGGCACGAAAGAATGCCGCGATGTTGGCATGTGGAGCTTCCGGTAAGCTGGCGTCTCCCTGGGCGCCAGCTTTGGCAACCGTGTCGACAAGCTCATTCCATGCCTGTCCAACATGTGCAGGCGTGTACTCGAACGTCAGGTTGTTGGCGAAGAGGCCCTGAACATAAGCGGCAAGGTGGCGGGTCTTCTGGCCAAACTCGTTGGGAGGATTCCAGTCGCCCGCTGTGCTCATGCCAACAGCCTGGCAGTCGTAGTAGATTGTAGCCCCTGTGAGGGGCAGGCTCCATCTGCTCTGGGCCAACCAAAGTAATGCTGCCGCAGTGGCGACTTGTTCCGCCTTCAGGGCCGGCGGGGCATGGAAGGCCCACACGTCTCCTCCATCACAGAGAATGGGGCCGCCAAAGACTCCGAGTAAGGCCAGGAATCCCGCACATCTTAGCAGCACCGCGACTCCATATCCACTACGCTGTCCCTCCGGGAAGTAGGAGCCATCGACGTAGACCTCCGCTTCAAGGTCGTGGCCTTCTGCCTGCACCACCAGGAGCTGACTCCAGTGTAATGTGCCGCGTAGAGCCTGGCGCGTTTCGTCCTTGAGTGGCAGTTTCATGGGGCTATAATTGAGCCAGTCTGCTGGCCATGTGCGAAGAATTTGTTTCACATCTTCACGGCCATGTGGTAGCTCTATCAGTTCCTCGTCAAGGTCGTACTGCACTGGGGGAACGTGGCGGCTGAGCTCGAGGACTCTTGTCCTGCCATTCCCTGCATGGGGACTTCGGCTTCTTTCGCGGTTGACCGGTTGTGGTGGAGGTGGGCCAAAGGGACCTTCTCCTTCCTGATGTCCCGGTGGGGTAAGGTCGGATGAGCTGGGGAGGTTGTGACTCCAATCACTGTCATCGCTCTCCTGATCATCAGAGTCCTGCGGCTCGGGGGAGGAGATATCCCCTTGTCGTCGAAGGACTACCTCCAGCACCTCGCCGTCGTCAACCTGTAAGAGCCCCTGATCGCCATATTTTTTGCCACCTTTGACAATCACCGAGTAGCCGTCAATACGTGGGAGGCGGAATGTTTGGATGTACCTCCCTGGGTGGACAATGCCATGCTGCGCGGGGGTCCAATGGACCCACAATCCGACTGCCCTCAGGTCAAAGAAGACGATGTGGTGGTCCTCTTTCGGCACCTCGGTCTCGTGGACAACCGCGATGATCGAATGGGTTCTCCTGGCCCGTCTGCACATACCCAGCGGTCGGTCAGTAGGGGCTCTGAGCCAGAAGTCCTCGTCGCGAAGGCCAAAGGCCTCGCGGGCGACACTTCGCGGGTGCCTCACATCAGCATGGTTGGTGCGGTGGAGGTAAATGTTGTTCTTCGTCTGGAACTCAATGAATCGCCCTGGCAAAAGGCTAGGGTGAGGATAGTCAGGGTCCCAACAAAGTGGGTCAGTTAGGCGGTCATCGAAGTTGCTCGCCCACTGGATATCCATGCCCTCCGGGACCACTTTGATGAGGCAGCCGTTGGTTGGGGGGATGCAGTCCGCGGTTTGCAGCGGTACCAGGCCTCCAGCCACATAGACGTCGACCTCGGCGTCCATATCCAGGCCCAGCTGCCCTAGCACTGCGAATCGAGTGATAGGGCTGTGGATGTAAAAGGCGAAGACGCCTTTCTCCAGTTCTGCCGCATCAACCACAACAGCCCATTTTTCTGTGAGCAGGTTCCAGTGGGGTATCATAACACAACTGCAGAACTCCTCCTCGAGCTGGGGCCGGAGCATGACTATCTCATCAAGCCAGTCTGTGCCGAAGCCGCGCACAGCCCGTTTCACCCGGTCCTTAACATCATCGGTGTCCAAGGGGAAGGGCAGTGACATGTCCACAGACGTTGCCTCCATGTCCGGTGAGGTGACCCAAAAGGAAATGTGGACTGCTTCCTCTTCCGGTTCCTCGGGGTCCCATTCTTCAAGGTGCTCTGGGACAATCGGCTCCGGCGGTAGTCGTCCAACGACTGGCGGCCCAGGTCCGTGCAGTTGTGCCGGGGCAGTAGCACCACTTTGCAGCGGGGTCTGCAGGGCAAATCTCGTCAGGCACGCTTGAAGTTGTTCTGCAACCGTGGGCTGTCCGGCCATCCACAGGGCTACATCGTCAAGTCTTGCATTTGCAGCTCCTCTCCCCAATGGGTCATCTGCTTTGGACTTGGTAGCGGAGCCACCATTGATGATTGCCGCCGCTAGGACCACCTTCAAGAGTATTGGCGCAGGCTTGGCAGTCGCAGCAAAGGGCCGCTGCCATCGAACATGCGCAGAGAGCCAAAGGATCAACACCATCAGCACAAGCATTCGAAATGTGTTGCCAAGGGCCTCGCAGAGCTGCGTGGTTGAGGGCAGAAGGAAGTCCAGTCCTGCCAGGATCTTGCCGAAGGCCCATTCCTGCAGGTCAATGACATCGTATATCTTGACGGCCTGCTCCGAGGCCTCATAGGCAAAAGGATTGGTGCAGCGATGCTGCACTGCGGACTGACCGAAAAAGCCGCAAGGGGGTGTCACCCAGGGACCATCACCAAGAAGTAGTCCCTGATTCATAAGTCCAGCGCTCAGTTCCAACTGGCGCCAGTGGCATATGGCTGCCGGCCTCGGGTGGCGACCTCCAGGGTCAGGATTGGTCACTCGGCCACTTGGCCCTCGCTTGCGTTGCCCAGGTTGCCGACCAGCTCGTCCTCGTCTGAGACATCGATGGACTCCTCCAGGGTCTTTGCGAGTTCTTCGGCCCGGGCAGCCTCGAGCTTGTCCGCGAGGGATGTCTTGCCGGTTGGTGGGGTAACCGGAGCCTTGCTGGCCTCCTTGATCGATACCCTCGGGCCATTGCGGCTCCGCGTCTTCGGGGCCGGGGACGCCATGAAGCCCGTAGCCGCCGACGGGGAAGCCATGTAGGGGTCCTTCGTAGTCTCGCCAACGTAGGGCTCTTCGATCTCCATCTCCGTGACCCGGGTTTTGTCTGCCCGACGGGCAGCTCGGGAGGCCGCCGGAGGAGTCATTGCCGCGGCATCCGTCCGACGCCTGGCCGGTGTTCCGGGAGGCCCATCGTTGTGCAGGGTCTTGGCCAGGACCTTGAGCATGGCGGTTCTGACTGCTTCGCCGGGCTGGTGCCCTCCAGCCATGGCATCCGCAAGGAAGTCGCCCAGGTTCTCCTCCTCGCTCTTCTCCGTGAGCAGCTTGTCCCACTCGGCTTCCGCCTCCTTGTCGGTCGGGGCTTCCACGGGTTTGTTGGGCTCCACCGTGCCTCCACCCAGGATAGTCTGAAGGTCTCTGATAGCCTCGACCCGCTGTTGTTGGCATTGAGTGGCCTCCTCCTGCAGCTTGGCAACCTTGTCCATGTACTTCGTGCGCTCCTGCATGAAGGTTTTCTTGAGGTCCTGCTGGAACTTGGCCCATTTGGCATCCAGTGCCTCCTTTTCCTCGCCACCACGGCGGAGGCGTCCTTCTGCTTTGCGGAGCCCATTGAGGATCTTCTGGAAGGTCTTGGCAAAGTCCGGGATGTCCTCGTCCCGTGCTTCGGTTTCCACTTCCCGACCACGCCTGGGCTGCGACGGTCGGTCCTTGGCCGGGAGTTCGACATCCTCGAAGGTCGGGAAATGAGGCTTCTCGCCCCTGGCATCTTTGGCCTTCCTGGGCTGCTGTCCAGACTTGTCCTTGCCCTGGTCCTTGCCATAGCCCTTGCCACGCCACGGCTGCGAGTACCACCCATCGTACTCGGTTTGCTGGCCACTCCAAGCTCCCCATTGGTCCTGGCCGCGGCCCATAGGGTCCTCTCTGTAGAGGGGTTGGCTGTGGTGGGCTCGTAGGAGTGCAATGGCCCGTCGTGAAGGGCCCTGGCACTGCAATCGTGCCTTTCGGATGGAAAGTCGGGCCCGCGAACGTGCAGCCCTTTGTCGCCTGTGCCACGCAGGCGAGGTCGGCTGCGCCCGTTTCCCAATGGCTGCAGCTACCCGATCTATCCTTCGGCACTGGGGTCGCCGGCAATGACCACAAACCTTGTTGTGGCCTCGTTCCGAAACCCTGTAGTATACAATATATATATATATATATATATATACACATACATGCATACATACATACATATGTATTGTGTATTGGAACCCTCCATGTAGGCTCGCCCGAGCTAAGTGGGAGGCAGTAAGAACCCCATGCGGGCCCATCCTTGCGAAGTAGGAGGCCGAAGAGACCATACGGCGTGCGGCACGAGAGCTTCGGCTCCTAGGAACCAACAGTTGTAGCACCCATAGCAATTAACCCGAAACTCCAAGCCCCAAAATCTAGCACCCGTTAAAGTAACCCGAAACTCCAAAGCCCAACACCTCCCTTCGGGAGGTCTGGCCTGTCTCGTTTAGTCGACCACGGCTCTGGACCTGCCCTCTCCGAGGAGAACCGAGCTCCTCAGGTTCTGAGCAGGTAAGCCACTCTAGGGGTATACTCCAGTGGAGCAATGTAATTGCGAGACACTTGATGATGGCACGGCAGAGAGAGAGATGATATAGTATAGTAGAGTTTTGTAGTATATAGTATGAATCTTCCGGTGTCTATATCATCCTACCTTAAACTACAGCGGTAATCTTTTTGAGGCTCGGGTTTTCGGCCCCTAAGGCTCTTTCAGAACTTTTGAACAACCAGTTACCATGCTTCTTTTGTGCAGGAGTGCATGTTTTAGGGCTTTGTATAGCACGGATCCGACTGCCTAGGGGAGAAGAGTGTGTGGTACCTGATCTTCAACTCCCATTTGCGCTATATCCTAAAGTGAAGTGGCCAGTACCTACTACCGTGTAGAATTTGGGGCTTGGCTTTCTCGTGTCTTTGCTGTTGGTTCTTCCGAGCGAAGTGGAAAGCCTGTTGCAAAAGGGTGCAGGATTTTGACTTTAGGGTTTGGGCCCGGGCCTTCTGGTGCTCCGTGTCCCTCACTACTTCTGGGTAGGGCTTTGACAAATAAGAGCCTTGGTTCAATATCCTAAACCCATAGCCATAAACCCTTAACCGATAAACCCTAAACCGTAGCCACTCACCCTGAACCCACTGAGCCTCCCCCTGTACTCCATGCAGATAGCTCAGATACTGTTAAACGATCCCGACCCACCCAAGTAGACTCCTACACACCTGACCCAGACTCCCAAGCCACGCTGCCCTGGCCCATGGATGCCGTTGCAGGGGCATAAACCACGCCTAATATGCAGCAGGAGTGTGTGTAAAATACACTCCACGGAGGGCCTGGTCTGTGTGGGGCTCTTCTGTAGGTCAGTTGGGGTCTCATTTGTTACGAACTTTCATATTGTGCTGTACTTTATGTGCTGCTACTTCACAATGCCACTACTCCTATACTCCCATTTTAGCTCCCCTCACTTTAGAATGTTTTAGACCCTTCCTTCTCAGTGCCTTATTTTTACCTTTATCCTTAGGGCTCATATTTCCTATGGAGTCCTAATATGCTAGACCGGTTTACCTTAAGAAACCACTAACCCGCGCCAGCGCTGGGCACATGGCACCCTGCCGAATGGACCTGGAATGATGGAAGGATAAACCGCACAGAATTTGCAACTGCATTTGCATGGCCTCCGCTGCCATACGACCACGAGCCTGAATACGCACATCTGCACGCAGCTCATGACACGTGGGCGGAGAGATGATCAATCACGGGCCTCATTTGGGGCTTCTCGCTATGGATGCAGCTCTCCTGGCCTTTTCTGGAATTCATTGCACTGAGCCAGGACCAGAAGCGAACAAATCGCTACTGCATGATGTGATTTCTGACCTTCTCCATGGATGTCTGAGCCTGCATGCCACACTTCCACGTCCTGCCAATGACCGCTGCCTTTTCTGGAATTTATTGCATGGTGGCAAGTGGTCTGGTCAAACATGCTATATGGGACCGTGGAGGGGGCTGGTTGGCTGGCCTTTACTGCATGAATGCAAGGAGAATGAAATACAGGCTCTTGAATTTGTGGTGAGAATATGCGGCAAACTGCTGCCTGAGCAATGCATGCCTTTGCCATTAGCGCCGGATCTGGCAGCTCTGGCAAATACAATCTATGCTGGAAAGCACACAGTACTCTGCCATGAAGTGTTTGGATATGATTGAGTGTGATGTTCTGCGTTGCATTCAATCATGTCTCAATACTCCAGTGAGTTTAATTCAGTCAACTGAGGGGTGCATGTTAGAATTCGTTCGGGGCCAAAACCCACATCATTATGCTACACTTTCATCATAATCAAGTCTTTAGACTATGCTATGGGTAGATTATACCATGGGTCAAAATCTACTCCTCCTAGCACACCTGGGTCGTTTGGTCAGCAATGAACATCATGTAGGTCACTCCACGTACTCCGCAGTTTCACTTTTGTCTATACTTGAATTAGGTGCCTGCAAGGTCGGTAATATGCTGACTTTGGGATCATGAAGTATCTGATCCCCCAACACAGATCGTAGCGCCTGAGTCATCCCGGCTCCTTATTCTCGCAACTCTTATTGTAGGGTGTTAGTCCCCTATAACCCGACCCTGAGCGATCTGTCTGATCACATCACCTTGGAATCTGGTGTTCTGGGTGTTGCGACAGTGAGAGATTCCAAGGAGAGGTTTCGCGGATCGGTACAGTCACTTTAAGTGTTGATATACTTTGTTGCTGCGACGTAGTGACGAAGCCTCTTAGTGTCGTTTCACTTTGCAGACTCGAACTCATATGCCTCGCCTGGTTTGTCCGAGTGTGAGCGCCGAAACCGTATTCACGCCGACCCGCAGCTATGGAACCTCGCCCGGCTTCTCCGAATTGTGAGAGCGTAAACCGTAAACCTAAGCGCTGCTCAATGAGGATTCCGCCGACCTTAACTGCTAGGTGGAAAAAGGCGCTTAAAAAAAAACCTAAGCGCTGAAGCATAAACCCTAAACCCCAGATTCATTGTTGGTTGTATTCTGACTGCTCCTCCTAGCGAAGTCTCACGTATCAGACTCCGAACTGCATGCCTCGCCTGGATTGTCCGAGCGTGAGCGCCGAAACCGAAACCCTAAACAAACCCTGTTGAAGTCACTCTAATCTTTCAGCAAGCCGACCTATGAAGCTCGTTTGGCGGAGTCCGAGTGTGAGAACGTAAACAAACCCTACCCATAGGCCCCAAAGTATCTCCTTTTTGGGGTTCATATTTAGAATCCTACAAGGTATTCCGAAAAAGGAATTACTTTGGGGCCTATGGGTACCCACAGGCCCCATAGTAGTTCCTTTTGGGGAGTACCTTATAGGATTCTAAGTATGAACCCAAAAAGGAACTACTTTAGGGCCTTAGGGTAAAGTTCCAAAACCTGGGGTTCAAAGATCCGATGGCGAGCAGGACTCGCTGAACGCTGCCGGCGCCTCCCGGGAGGTCCCACGAGCTTTGAGGGTTTAGGGTTTGTGGCAGGACCCTCCTTGTGCCCTCAAAAAGGGGTATGTGGTCCCAAATAATAGGCATTTAAGGTTTAATAGAGGGTAGATGGAGGGTCTAGGTAATACAGGGTTATACGGGCGTAAGTAATCGCTATTGTTTTTTTGGGGAAGGTCCTTATAATCATAGTATCACGGCCCATATATTAGAGTTAGGTTTGGGTGTCGGGTTTAAGGGACGACATGCACTTGTGCATAATAGGTCTTTGTGTGAGGAGCAGGATGAGAGCATGTCTGAAACATGCTCGTGCATTAAGAAACTTTCACCACTATATCCCATGCTTGATCTTGCTCTTCAGGTTAAGCGGTGGGTGGGTGGATGGGAAAACAGTTGCGGATTACGCGCCCCTCCAGGAAATTTTGTGTCCCGACAGCCCGCCCGGGGTATCCTACACATTTGCTCATGACTGCCTTTTCTTAAGGTGGGATTGTGAGTACCTCGACCGGGTGAGGGATTACCTTTGGGGCTTTCATCACCAAGAAGATTCATCATGTCGGCAGTCCTCATTCAAAGTCTCGTGTGATATTACGCACCATTCTCAGTATCATGAACATGCTCATGACATTTGATGGCCAGCGTAGCCTGAAGCACAAGCTTTTGCATTGTGCAATACTTTGTCGTCGTCAACTCCAGTGCCATCAGTCTGGTTCTCACAAAAGTCATTGTTTGTTTTACTTGGTTTTTGCTGCGAGCGGAAGGACTTCTGGGAGCTGGTGCAGCTCTGGCAAGGCCGCGTGCTGCTGTTCCATGTAGACGCGAGTTCTAGGCGGCGACTGTAGGGTTTTCACACCAAACTTAGGAGTCCGTCGTGGGATGTACATGTTTGCCATGCTGCGACAGGCTTTCCCATGCCAGCGGTGGCAGAACATTGCTTCCACCACCAGGTTTTATCGTGTAGGCACACTACTTTGAAGAGATCTGATTTCATGCGCAGCAGCTTCGCTGGAGCTTGGATGGCAGGGCTGTCAATTCGACACCCACTTCACGACGAAACACGGAGTTCAGCAGTGATCATCGCCAAAACCCGGGCAATTGTATTGACTATGCACCTTGAGTTGGTCTTGATGTCCTTCGCCGGCAGCATGCGATGCATTGATCCTGACTCGAAGCAATCTACATGCTGCTTGATCCCGACACAAAACCTATCATACTTCATCCGAGCCCAACATTTCTGAGTCATAGTCAGCGGAGTCGGCTTTACGCCACGTTCCCAAAACCACAGAGTGGAGCTTCGGCCAATCTTCCTTCCAGGCTACTGGGACCGACGAGGGGTGGCGCTCCGCCAGCAGCATGATCGAGACATTCTGGCAGCACGCCTCATGTTGGGAGAAAGTAGCTGTAGCTGCTGTAGCTTTCACGTTTAGGGCTGAGTGGGAAAGCAGCCAGCAAATTGACCGAATAACAGGTGAGACATGGTGAGACAGCATGTGGAGATTTCAGTTTGGTGGGTTGAGGTTCGGCACATGCACGGAACATCGTATGCGGTTCTTCATGTAGGGTCCGGTGTGACTTGGAAGAATCTTTGATCATGTGGAGGACTATGTAGAGGTCGGACTGATTGGCTGTAGCATGCACCAAAACCCTGCTCCAACTATCTTTGCTGCTAGCGTATGTAGCTTCCCGTCGTTTCTCACGGTGGACTCTTCAGCTGCTATCATCAGACTGATCTCGAGGCTCATGGCCAGTGTGTCTTTTTGGCATCTGTTCAAGAGTTTGCTACTCCAATGTGCCACAAATTTGAGGTACGACTAGACTGACAGAGAGTGGGTCATCTTTTTCAGTGTGGTGCCTGAGACTCCAAACCCCCAAATCTTGCACCCGCATTTTCAATACTACATAATTACGTAATATACATTATGTAGTATACAATTCATTTCATTTCGAGGCATTCAGAGGAGTACGCGGCACTAATTTACAAATGCACATCAGCCCTGAGACTCGCGAAAATGGGTCCGTACGGGCTCTTCCAGAAACTCGGATCAGCTCTGATATAACCGACCTTGCCTGTACTGGCCAGTTCCCAAAGCTCTAGGATCTTTCTGGGGATAAAAGATGTTGGCTCGTCAAACGCGGCAGGAACGTCGTCTATGCTACTTAGCGGGCCCTTTCCTGCTTCCCTAGGCCAGCTCAGTTGGTACAGCTGCGACGACGGGGTCCCGCATTTGTGGCGGCCGACCTGAAGCAAAGTAGCCCAGGAATGCCGCTGGCCTTGTCTGTACTCCGTCAGGGACGCTTCGATGTCAGCCTCCTCAAACACGCTCGCTGCGGTCGGTGCCAACCAATCGTCCGGCTGACGCAGGGCCTCGCGGATAATCGCAAAGGAGGACGGAGTCCACGGCTCCGTAGGGTCGCTTGTCCACAGCTCGTCCACCTCCGTCGCGATGAACTCGAGGACCTCGATCTCCTCCCGGGGGTAGAGAGGAGAGCCCGTCAGGCTGTGTCGCACTGCCTGTCGGACCTGCTCAATCTTCTGCCAGTCACGGCGGTCTTGAAGGACATCGCAAAGGGCTCGGTGTGCTGCCTTTTGGGGTTCCGCCCAAACTTCCCAATCCGCAGCTTGGGCCGTGACTGGTCCTGTACGTGAGGGGGCCAGGTTGAACTCCTCAACAAAGCGATGCCGAGCCGCTCGGCTACCCTGTCCGGGAAGAAGCTGATCGACTGTGTGGCCCCCCGCACGAAGAGTCTTGACACAGCGATCATTGTCCCGTAGATGGATTGCCAGGCGGGCCGTAGTCCACAGCTCGCGGCCACAAGCTTTGCATTGTGTCCCCTGGACGCATGCTCTGAACTCCGCCGCTCTGCCGTGGCTTTTGAAGAAGTGGGCCCCAAGCCCACCTTTCGTTTTGAACTGGCGGTCGCACATTCTGCATCGCCAGTGTCTGGTGACCTCCTCCCCACTCGGGAGCGCCTCACAAGCTCGCCGGTAGAGGCCCCAGATGCCGACCACCACCGCATCGGCCTGGGTCTGCTGCATGTGTTTGTTCTGAAGGAACTGCTTGACTCGCCGCTTGAAACTGGCCCCATTGTTCCGCAAGTAGGTGAGCCAGCTTGCCCATTCCGCCGCCGTCGCCCGAGGGAGGTCCTCGTAGGCCTCCGAAAGGTGGCAGAGGTCTTGCCGGACGATTTGGAGCCATCCTTGCTCCTGTTGTAGGATTGCCCATAGGGCGGTGGGCCCACTGGACGCCATCGAGACCAGCAGGCTCATACGGCTTTTGAGCGCCTGGAGTTCCAGGCTCCAGCTGTTGGTGGCGAGGTGGACGATTGGACCAGGAACTCGGCAGCCTCGGTGCCCGCCAACATCTGCGACCAGCAGGCGTCGCAAGATTCTCGTGTAGCCTCCGGAGAGTTGTTTCCAGGCTTCCCCCAGCGGTATCCATATCGCCAGATTGTAGAAGACCGAGAGGATGGCAGAGTGGAAGAGCTGGGCTCGAGTTCGGAGGGGAATATGCTTGTTGCCAAAGAGGAGCCTTTTACCAGTTTCATATGCGTTGCCGGCTAGTGCCAGTCGCTTTCGCATTTCTGGCTTCAAGGTGCACCCCATGTCAAGCAATCCTCCGAGATGTGAGTACTGTGGGGCTATTGCCAGTTCCATGTCCATGTCGGGCAGCTTAAGGGTGGAGCGGCCATGGGCGAAGAACTCAGCCTTGGCCTTGCTCGCTCCGCGGCCGACAATGGCCACGACCGCTGTGGTTTTACCCCTCTTGAGGTTGGGCTGAAGTCCGAAGGACTGGCAGGCAGTGATTGTGATCGCTGCAATCCTCTGGGCCTTCCGGAGCATTCTTGCGGGGTCCGCATCGTCGAAGGGTATCGCCGAGTCGTCTGCCCAGGTCGTGTCCCTGAGGGTAACCTCGTCACCCTCAAGGGCCTGAGCGAAGGGACCCGTATCAGGGTCATAGCCGACCTCACTGAGCAGCCCGTCGCCAGCCGCAATCTCGTAGATCCTCCCCAGGACTCTGCCGTAGATGAAGGCGAAGATTTCGTCGGCGAATGACTCACCTGGGCGGCTTCCCGCATAAGTGGACGCCAGCCATTTGCCACCTGTGTGCTTCGTAATGCACCAGGTGCGGTGATGAAGGTCCTTCACCATGGCTCGGAGTGCGGGGGTAGTGCCCGCATCATTCATGACGCCACCACTTCGGATGATCTTCCAGAGCTCGGCCATCTCTTCGCCATCCAGGTTGAATCTTTGCATAATCCTGGCGACCGTTGTGTCCAGCCGGATGTCGCCCATTGCGACTTCACGGATCACTGTATAATAAGCAGCGGTCGTGTCCAGAAAGAGCACTCCAGCTGCCCGCGACAGCGCCTTGCACCGGCGCAGGTGGCTGAGGATATACAGCGTCGCATATGCGATCGGTGCTCCAGCTCTGCTGCCAAGGTGCATTTCGTGAAGCTCACGTTGGAGTTGGGGGCTCGTTTTGTTGCGCAGCAGGCGGTGATAGGCCTTCCCCACCACGCTTGACACAAATAGCGAGCGGTGGTTGGTGGGGCAGCTTACTGCGCCGGCGCCTTTGTACGCCGAGAACAAGATGCCTCCTCTCCACTGCAGCGGTTGTTGTAAGCCCGCCGCTGATTTCAGCATCAACGAGTGGACCATTCCAGCAGCCGCTGCAGGTGCCGCTGCGAGGGCCTCGCCAGGGATCATGTCGAGTCCCATGGCTTTCCCCCTCGGGGCCGCCCTCATAGCCTGTTCCACTTCTACGAGGCTCGGCAGGTCATCGAGGGTCCATTGGACTTGGTCGCCAAGTCGGGCCGCAATGTCTTTTTCCTGGAGGAACTCCTCTACAGCCATGGTCACACCACATTCCTGTCGCCCGAAATGACGGAGCCAAATGGCGTCATGGTCAGCTGCCGACCGCGCGGGGCGGCCTTGGTGGTCATAAAGGGCAGGTAGCGGTCGACGGCCTCCTTGCTTCTTGCGCCCCCCGACTCCCAGTCGTTTGGCCTGTTGCAGGAGTTGTGTTGCTGATTGAGGGCAGCCGTTGAAAAAGGACTGCAAATATTCAGCCTTGTTGGTATGCACCTCCCGCTTGATGCGTTGTGTGACAACCCCGATGGCACAAGAGGCGAGCTGGTACAGGAGGCCGTCTTTGCAGATCTCCGGCTCAATCGCAACCTTGGTTCGGCCCTGCCAGTGCAGAAAAGCCTGCCGCAGTAGATGCCGCCAAAGTCCTCGCCGGTGTTGTGCCAGACTCTTGAGTCGCAGCTTCTGTGCCCTCCATCTCCAGATGTCCTCGGTGATGTAATGTGCCTTGGGGCCGTCGGCGGTGATCGCGAAATGTTCGTCGAGGCATTTCGTGATGTAGGCCTGCATATGTCGGCAATGTTCGTCGACATGGCTCCACCACGGGGGCGCCACATAGGCCTCCCAAGCTTGCCGGAGGATGGCCCTCCCCTCCGGCGTCATCATTTTGCCTCTGTCATATTTGGGCTTTTTGAGCCGGGGCTGTTGTTGGACCCCTGCGATCTGCCCCCAGATGTGTACCGCTGCCGGCCAATGATCGTCCTTGGTCGCGGCGAGGTCGATCTGGGTTTCAGTCCAGCTGCTGGCCCCAAGGGTGTAGGCGCTTCCCCCGATCGCGATAAAATCGATACGGTGGAGGTTGCCGGTGGCGTGCCGGAATGTTTCTTGCGGGCCAGCGTGGCTTTCAGCATAGGTGGATGGAAGCCAAAGGCCGGTCTGTTGTAAGCAATCCGCAAACTGTCGGCCTGCTTCATCTGACTCCCCA